AGTGTCCTCAGCTGTGTTATAGTAACACTTTGTATGATTAGAAATGGAAGAAATTTTAAAACTTGAATTTGCTGTAAGCTGTTTATGCGGTTTGTTTACTTGTGTGTATTTCACTTCTCATGAACAGGGGAAAGAGACTGATCACTTTCTCAGACTGGGAACTTTCACTTTCTCCTCCTAGTCAGTTTCATTGCCTTAAATTCTTATGAGAGCCGGTCAACTTTTTTCAAAAATTCAAATTTTGGATGAAAGTTTTTCACAAAAAGGGTCAAAAATCTGTTGGGGAAAATGTTCATTATTTTGCCACCAGCTTTACTTCTTGTGCACAGGACAGTTCTGGAGTTGTCAGACTAGGTCCATACTGTGTTTCCTAGGTGCTCTAGCAATACAAATAATAACTATTATTGATAACAATAATTGCAAATCCTGCAGTGGGAGGTTTGGATTAAAAATAAATGTTTTCATTGATATAAAAAAAGTCCTGAAAACATTTCTAATAGGTTTTATGCAACTTGCTGTATTTTTAAATGTTTTGATTCTGCCCAACGCTGTCTCTTTAATATTAGAACTTTGACTTATTCAACAAACTGGATTCAGAGCTGTTCTTTAAGAGCATATGAGTACATTGCTGAGTGTACTGAAGTCCAAAGTCTTGCATCTGATATAAGCTATTTGTTTTACATATTTGTTATGTGTTCTGCTGGCGAAAGCCTGGGGCGCTAATAAAGACTGACTGATTGCTTGCATTTTTTGGAAACATTTACGACCAGTGTTTGCATTAAAGGACTGATCTTGTGAGATGCTGAATGCTTTCAGCTCCCTCTGAAGCTTTTGCCAGCAGCACGGAAGCAATTCCAGTCTGGGATCAGTCTTTCATCCATGTCAGATGCAAGGTAGCAAGGATTGTCTTCTACCTTCCCTTCCTAAGTCTGACCGCTGAATCCGAAGAAGTGGGCTGTAGTCCACGAAAGCTTATGCTCTAATAAATTTGTTAGTCTCTAAGGTGCCACAAGTACTCCTGTTCTTCTTTAGGGACTTGAGTCCCCTACTGAAATAACTTGGCCGATCCTCTGCTGGTGTCAATCAGTATAGCTCCATTGATTTCCAATGATGTTGATTTACACAGTCCAAAGCACCCTGTGTGGACTGGGGAGTCTGAGCCAGGGGATACAGGTAAAGCTGCCACCAATTCGTAATTGCAATGTGGAACAATATAATCACATTGTAATACTGTGCCTCTGGGTATGTTTACACTGTAATTTCCATCTTGGGTAGATATACCTGGGCTAACTCTGACTGAGTTAGTGCATTAGAAATAGGAGTGTATCTAAGGCTGCATGGATGGCAGGATCTAGGGTTTCAAGACGGGATTACACTTGGGGTGGTTAGCCCATCCCATCACTCACGCTGTAGGAGCTACACTGCTATTTTTAGTCCACTAGCTTCATCAAAGCTAGCGCAGGTATGTCCAGGGAAATGATGCCTCCAGCTCCAGTGTAGACAGACACACTGTGTCACAATGTCCCACCATGGCTATTTTTCCTTCATCTATGATGCTGGGGGACACACCTTGCAATATCACTGGGACGTGTTACATGATGCAACGTCAGAACACAGCAGTGTGATGCAAGGCCTTATAAACCTCTAGTTTCCCAGCTTGTTGGTCAGGGCACAGAAGTGTGAAAATTGTGATCGTTCCCAAACATTTTGATGGCTAGGGACGACTGAACCGCAAAGATTTGGAGAGGCAGTTCAGAGAAGCCCCCAGAAATGCTTGTGATGATCCAACTTTGTGGGTTCGCAAAGCTAGAAACCTTCTGAGAACAAGATTTCCTCTTTTCCTGTGGGAATTCGGATGCTTCTTGCTTCCACATGAGCCAGAAATAAAGGACAACAGCCTTTGCCCATGTGGTTAGTTTGGCCGTTCCTGCTTCTGCACCTAGACACAGCAAAATAGGAAATGTTATTCAAATCAAAGACTTGGCTTCATCCTGAATGACTGTTATTATGGTAGTTTCAAGGATCCTCAGTCATGGATCAGAGCCCCATGTACAAACACAACAAAAAGACTGCCCCAATTAGCTTACAGTTGAAGTATAAGACAAGAGACAGGTGTATGCAAACAGACCGATGGCAGAGCCCAAGGAAACAGTTGTGGGTAATAGTTTGTTCTTACTCTACCGGACCTGGTTGGCTTATATCTGCAATGGTGACCCGGTGAGTAGATCAGGGATGTTAGGAGCAGAACTGGTTGAAACTTTGGGTTTTCTCTATGAAAAGTTCAGAAACAAATGAACAGTTTTAGTTTGCAAGTTTTCACTTTCTTTACCCTGTTTTTTGATTTGGGAAATGAAATGTGTTGAAGCAACATAGAAAAACTCCTTTTAAATGGTTTTGTTTGGAAATGTTTCATTTTGGCTTTGGATTTTCTTTCCTCTGTCTTTCTCATTCTTTTGCTCCATTTTTTCCAGTGGAAAAGTGAGAGCTTTTCCCACACTTCTCCACTGGAAAAAAATTAAAAGTGCAAGAAAGAGTCCCCCACCCTTACTTTCACTTTTAAAACTTTTTTCCAACTTTTTCTGGTGGGGAAAAAATACGAGTGTTTTTTTTCTTCACTCTTTTTTTTTAAACCTTTTTCCTCTTTTTCCCCCCTCCAGTAGAAAAAACTAGGGAATAGTAAAAAATCTGGAAGTGGGAATTTTCCCATTATGTTAAAAAAAAATCTTTTTTTTTTGGTAGGCTTTCATAGAATTTAAGGCCAGAACGGACCATCATGTTCATTTAATCTGACCTCCTGCACATCGCAGGCCATAGAACCTCACCCATCCACTCCTGTAATAGACCCAGAACCTCTGGCTGAGTTTCTGAAGTCCTCAGATCTTGATTTAAAGCCTTCACATTACACAGAATCCACTTTTTAAATTCTTGATTTAATGAACATTTTCAATGAGATTTTTTTTGGAAAACAAAATATTTTCACCCCCGCCCCAAAAAAATTCCTTTTCAATGAACCCCCATTTCTTGATTGAAAAAATGTTTAGTCAAAAATTGTTGACCACACTCTTAGTTAGTAGATTACTTTCCAAGATCTGCTATACTCTGAATCTTTCTAGGGCAGGATGGCCTGGCAGTCTAGACTCTAGAGCAGTGGTTCCCAAACTGGGGTTCGTGAACCCCTGGGGGTTCGCAAAATGTTACAGGGGGTTCTCGGGGAAAAAATTCCCTAATGGCGGACATAGCTGTCCCTAGGGACCCCGGACAGCACGGGGCCAGCAGCCCGGAGCCCCTGGACTTCCAAGAGCTGAGCAGATCAAAGCAAGCAGATCTATCACACTGAGGAGATGTAAACTTCAAGACTCCTTATAAGAAATGGAAAGGGAGGTGAATATTTTTTGCTGTTTTTAAAATTAAATAGGCAGCTAGTATTGTTTTTAAAATTATTATGAAGAACAAGTTTAAGCTCTGTCTTAACGTGCGTTGTTTGCCTGGTCTGCTCAAGATCTGAATGCTTGT